AACTCCCAGAATTCAACATGGCTGGGTGGGGAATTCTGGGAGTTGAAGTCCACTCATCTTAAAGTGGCCAAGTTTGGACAACACTGGCTTAGAGGCTTCCAGATGGGTTGGGTATCAATCCTCATCTCTTCATGGGCTCCCTGTTGACCGAGTGCTTGGCCCTGGGGCTACAAAGTTCCCATTGGCAGGTCTACCTAATTTTAATTCCAGTGGCCGTTCTTTGCGTTCCCCCTCCGGGCTGCAGACGGGCTCATGGCACCATAGGGAGAAGAGCAGCCTTAGGCTCCGCAGGCGTCTGACAGAAGCTGCTCGGACATCGTCCCAGGCTGACGTCACGGCGTGGGTGGCCTGAGTTGCCCTGGGAGGTGGTACCGGGGGGTGGGAATCCAGCTGTGGGCCCAAAATGGCTATGGGGAGTCCTCCCTGCAGAGCGAGAGGCACTCGCCAGCCACTTTGGGGTCTTTCCCAGAGTGCCGTGGGGCAAGGCCAAGGGCCAGATGGGTCCCTGGCAAGAGTGGTTGTCGGGATTCACGTTACTGTCTACTGGACATCTTAATTATCTTATCTGCGTGATGGTGTTGTTAACTGCTGCAAGCCCTTGTAGATCATGTTATGCGTTTAACAAACAAGTTAAGTGGCCAAGGATGTTACCTGCTCTCCTGGCCCAAAACAAGGGATATTAGGAGGCCTGGCGGGGAGGCAGATGTAAGACGTGAACCGTGGCTCGGCTGCAGATGCGGGTTGGCCTCGCCGTTTGCGCTCCCTGGTTCTCTTGCGTTCCTGCTGCCTGCGATACGTCCGTCTTGCTCAAAGCCACATCCTGGAGCCTCTGCCTGCGAGCTTCTGGCGCCAGTTCCAGCCTGGGTGGAAGATGTTGCTGGGGCTTGTCGGGAGGACGACTGCTTGGCTGGCCCATGGCCAGGGTGGCCCCTCAACAAACCAACCTGGGCAATTCGGGGGAGTGGGAGAGGAAGCCGAGGGTCAACGTTGCCTGCGGACGCTGCTTCCTTTGGCCTGACCCACGGCCGGCTTTGGGGCTGGAACCCGCCGGACCTTTTGCCAACGGGGCCTTCCTTCTCTTGCAGGCCAGGTCCTCTCCCAGGCAGCCACCAGCAGGAGGCAAGTACTTCATTCCCCCCGCTGAGATCCCATGGGGAACTGGGGGCTGCCCTCATTTCCAAACGACGTGAAAAGAACAGGTGGAAGAGGCCTGCTTGGGGTTGGAGACCCGATGGCAGGGTCTCCAGGTGCCATCCTGGCAGAAATGCCTCCCTGCCGCCTGCACATCTGGACCATGTGGGAAAGGGCTCCCTGTACAAGGAGAAGGCCTGGCCTGGGTTGCAGACCCCAGCGTTTCTCTTAGGGATGAGGGGGCTGCAGGGGAGGTGTGGCCCAGGCAGAGTGGCAGGAGGGCGCATCTTGCATTTTTTCCAACCTGGGGGGAGGAATGCTGCACATCTCCCTGGCGGAGCGGCAGTGGAGAGCTGAGGGGCAGCGGAGTTAAGGGAAGAAGTCGATTTCACAGCCAAGAGGGGCCAGGGGGGCACCAAAGGCCAGGCGGTGTCTGACCCTCCCTCTCCGCTCCTCAGCGGTGCCCTTTGAGGAAGTCTGGAGTCGCAGCTACTGCCATGCCAGGGAGACGTTGGTGGATGTCCACAGCGAATTCCCCCACGAAATTGAGCACATCTTCAAGCCCCCATGCGTCCCCCTGTGGCGGTGCGCCGGCTGCTGTGGGGACGAGAGCCTGGAGTGCGTTGCTGTGAAGACCCGCACCATTGGCCTGGAGGTCTGGGACCGTTTCAACTCCCTGCTCTTACTGAGGCAGGCCCTCGAAGAGCAGGAGGGAGAGGATGGGTCTTCGGGGGCCGGGGGAGAGCAGAGCGCGACCCCAGGCTGCTGGCCAAATGCCACGGAAGGGTTCCCCCAGGGCTCCCCCCCCGCTGCTCCATCCCTGCCAGCACGCACCAAGCCCGTGACGGCTGCCTTTCTCCTCCGGCAGGTGCTGCGGGTGAGTCCCCTCTCGGGCACGACACGGCAGGAAGAGCTGACCTTCACGGAGCACATGCAGTGTGTCTGCCGGTGAGGTGGAGGCAAAGCAGCCACCGCCCCCCCCCCCGTTGGCTAGTGAGAAGAGGGTGGGGAGGGGCAGAATTGCCTGAGGAGGAAGTCCGGAAGGTCTCGATCCAAGAAGCAGCAAACGATCCTCAGCCCCACCACCCATTTTCCACTGGGGCTCATGAGCAAGTGAGGCAGAGTGCCTCTGAGCATACCCGAGAGAGGGGAGGGTCCAGGCCCATGCATGTGGGGAGGCGCATTCTCAGAGGCAAGGGCTTCCTCCCCTCCCCCCTCTACCGAAAGCTCCCAACCCGGCATTAGGTCCTGCGCCCGCTGGCGATGCAGAGCGCAAATGCTTTCTCCCCTCTTTCAGGTCTCGGCGAAAACGCTTGAAGAGCGAGAAGTACGTGGGGCTGAGGGCTCAGAGGGCGGGGAAGCTGCTCCGGAGGGGTGGAAAGGGGGCAGGACGGCAGAGGTGTTCTCAGAGCTGCTTCTCCAAGATGCCTGCTTGAGCTGAACCCCTCTCCCCACCCTTGCAGGAACCCCCGGATGGGAGCCAAGAGGAAGCCGCGAGAGCCAAGCCCCCCCTTCTCCCCCCCACTGTATGTACTCTGCTGCCTTGTGTTGAAATACTCCAGGGAAGGATTGCAGCTTGGGGGCAAAAATGTCATGCTTTGAAGGCATCCCATAGAAGGCGTGGGGGGGGGGGGGAGGAAAGGACTCTCTGCCTGGGCACCAGGAGAGCCAATGCCGGTCTGAGCGGACCATCCTGGGCCAGCTGGAGGCCCGGCCTTGCAGAGTATAAGGAGCATACTCACACAGTATGAGAAAAGAAGTCCAGTTGCCATGACTCAACCTCCAGATACATTTATCTATTTATTAAGCAGGCTTTTCCACCCTTCTCCGCAGCCTGCCAGAAAGTTGGAGTGGGGACCCTGTGTCTGTGTGCCACAGCTGCAGTGGGGCCTGGGGTCCCCTGAGTCCCCGGCCACGTGCCTCAGCTTTGGATTTCTCTAATGCTGGGCAAATTCCTTTGACAGCTGCAAGCTTTCCACGGGCAGACGCAGTGCTGTGAGCAGGGATTGGGAAGAGACACCGAGCCCGGCAGAAACCCACAGTGGGTCTTTGCCTCCGAGAGCCGTTTCCCTCTGAAGCTGAAGCTGCTGCTGGCTGGGACCGTGCAGAGAGCCCGCCCTGGGGAGCTGCGGAGGGTCTCGTCTGCAAAGGTGGACTCCCCTCGGGCCACTGTTCTCTTTCTGACACTGGGGGGGTTGGGGAGGGGAGGCATCTCCAACACCTGGACATGTTGGTATATGTCTGTCTACACTTATGGCAGCCTAGCCTGGCCTAGCCTCCTCCATGTTTGTTCAACTACGACACTCATAACTCACAGCCAGCAAGGCCCCTGGCTGGGAACCATGGTAATTGAAGACCCAGTGCAGCTGGAGGATGCCATGTTGGGGAAGGCTGTTTTCTACATTTTTCTTCCTTTTCCAATAACCCAGCAAAGGGATACAAGTTTCTGTATGAAAGAGCCGGCTGGCCCTTTATTTAGGACACATTTTTCTTTTGCCTGAACACAGGTGCCTCTTCTACCAATGCCTCTCCCTCAGGGTGTGGTGTTATCTTTAGTGGCTTTTAGCAAAACAGTCCTTGTAATATACATTTTTTAAAATTAGGGTTTGATATCATCCCCCTCCCCCATCTGGGAAGCTGGGAAAAAATCCTTGGTTTATTTTAAAGAACGCAGATAATGTCTTTTGGTCCTGCCTCGATTGTTTGCGTGCCTTTTATAGCGCCTTGGAATAAACTGAATGCTGCTTCGTTGCTCTGCTCTCAGCCTTCAGCAGGTGGGGCTGTTCTTTAAGCTTAAAGGGTTGCCGGATGTCAAGATCTTCTGTCCCATGATGAGCGTACCCCTGCTTAGCTTAATTCCGACTCAGGCGATTAACCTCTGGTTCTGGGTTTGTATACTAAGGACCTTCGGAATCCCAGTGTGCTCAGCTGTGGCTCTCTGGGCCACGAGACCACAGCCTCTCTTTCCCTCTGCCCCTGGTACCTGGAGGGGCACCAAGTGAAGCCAGAGCCAAGTCCCAACTGCCACGGGTGAATGTAAATAGGAATTAGGGTGGGTGGTCACCTCTCTGGGTGAGAAGTTTAGCACCAGAACTGGTAGATGTGGAGGGAAGCCACCACCTCCTAGTTTAGCCTCTGTGAACCTGCGCCTGCCTGCCTGCCTGCCTGCCCGGAAAGGGGGAGCTTGTACTGTGAAGAGAGGGGGGAGGCGGTTAAGGAGATGGAGTCTTGCGAGCAGCCTTACTTGACCTCCCTCCTGGCAGGAGGGTGAATACTGGAGAAGCCCGGTGGCTCTGAAAGCTCCGCGTGTCCTGAAAGAGAGCCAGGGCGCAAAGGCAGAGCGCCCCCTTCCTTGCCTTGGGGCTCCAGAGGGGCGACGCGGACGTTTGGTTCAGGCAAAGGGATCCCCAGGCGTGCTGGCGGCTAAACGTCGAGGGGCTGACCCGCAGTTCACCGTGGGCCCGCTGAAGGGCCCGACGTTATGTGCTTTAAGGCTTCTGCTTGCGTGCGTCTGCATGTTTGACCGGTGGACGTTCGCAGGGGCTTCCAACCGCTGCTGAGAGTCGGGGGCATCAGCCCCGCCGCTGGCCCTGCCGGAGGAGAGCGGGACGCTTCCGTGGTCTTGACGGCAACGAGAGAGGCGCGCGCGAAACGTTCCGGCTTGGGAGGCAGGAGGTGGGCTAAGCGCCGCTTACGGCACCAGCCTGGACCGGGCGTTTATCCACCGCACTCGCTCGCCAGCCCCGCAGTAACGGTTATCAGCTGGGAGTGCGCGAGCCTTGCTAGAGCCAAGCGAGACGCTCCCCCCAAACTTAAGCGTTTTCCCACCGCCGGATTTCGGAGCGCTGCCCTCGAGTGGCGCCTTCGGCCCCGCTTCC